GCGAAAGCGAGAGCGAGAGAGAACGACAGGCCGCCGCGGAGGGCAAGGACGGGGCCAGGGAGGGTAGCAACTGGGCCACGAAGGGCAGCGAGGGGGCCACGAAGGGCGACAGCGGGGCCACGAAGGGCAGGAAGGGGGCCACGAAGGGCGACAACGGGGCCACGAAGGGCATGCGCATGGGGCCACGACGGGCGCGAACGATCGGGGGCCACGAAGGGCAGATCATGCGGGGCCACAGAAGGCAACGACGGGGCCACTGAAGGTAGCCACTGGGCCCCGTAGGACAGTGAGGGGGCCACGCACGGCGACAGCGGGGCCATGTAGGGCATGCACATGGGACCACAACGGGCGCGAACGAACTGGGGCCACGAAGGGCATACGCATACTGGGCCGCGGAGGGCAAGGACGGGGTTACGGAGGGCAGCAACGGGGCCACGAAGGACAGCGAGGGGGCAACGAAGGGCGACAGCGGGGACACAAAGGGCATGCATATGGAGCCACCACGGGCGCGAACGAGCGAGGGCCACAAAGGGCATACATATATGGGGCCACGGAAAGCAGCGAGGGGGCCTTTAAGGGCAGCGAGGGGGCCGCGAAGGGCTGCAACGGGGCCACGAAGGGCTGCGACGGGGCCACGAAGGGCAGCGAGGGGGCCACGAAGGACTACAACGGGGCCACGAAACAAAGCGAGAGGGCCACGAAGGGCTGCGACGGGGCCACGAAGGGCAGCGAGGAGGACACGAGGGGCTGCAACGGGGCCGCGAAGGGCGGCGAGGGGGCCACGAAGGGCCGCAACGGGGCCACGAAACAAAGCGAGGGAGCCACGAAGGGCTGCAACGGGGCCACGAAGGGCAGCGAGGTCCCGATTCTTAGGCAATCTGTGAGGGAGTCCTAAACGAGAGCGCGACTCTCGGGTGCCTGGGTGTTGGGAGCGCGGCGCTTGAATAAATTGCAAGCATTTCCTACGCAAGGACGCTATTCTTCAGTAAAATGCAGGCAAGTCTCCAGCGAGAGCGCGACTCCAGAGCGCCGGGAGAGCGATTCCTGAATACATTGTAAGGAAGACCAAAGCGAGAGCGCGACTCCTGAATAAAATGAGAGGAAATCTCGGGCGGGGGCGGGGGTGCTGGCTAAATTGCAAGGAAATCTCAAGCGGGAGCCGTTGTTGTTGTAACCCGGGGGCCAGGGGGCCCTCTTGAGCAGGAAGACTTCCCCTGTCAAAAAACAGGGTGCGAGAGTCGAGGGGCACACTTCGATTGAGAAAAAACCGCATGCACCGGCGAGGGGGGATCAACAATACTTATTCTTCAGAAATGAGAATACAACAACCATAATCTTAAGACTGTTCACCTTTATAGGCTCGACGGCGGGGGTCCTGGCTAAATTGTAGGGAAGTCTCAGACGGGAGCCGTTGTTGTTGTAACCCGGGGGCCAACGACACAGTTTGACGCTCAAGGCTTTCTCTGATAAAAAAACCAGGTGCGAGCCCTGGGAAGGGCACTACAATCGAGAAAAAAACAGTGTGCACCGGACGGGGGGATCAACAATAATTATTCTTCAGAAATGAAGACTCAACAACAACGACAACAACAACAACGACAACGACAACGATAACGACAACCACAACAGCAACAACAACAACAACAACAAGAACAACGACGACAACGACAACGACAACAGCAACAGCAACATCAACAACAACAACACCAATAACAACAACAACAACAACAACAACAACAACAACAACAACAGCACCAACAACACCAACAACAACACCAACAACAAAAACAACAGCACCAACAACAACACCAACAACAACAAAGCGTCGGAGCGATGCCGAGATCAAGGGAAGGGCAGGGGCCGACTCAGAGGGCGCTTCGGCCCCTGGCGTGGTGCGCCGACGCGAGGCGAAGCGGACCCCCGTCGAGGGGGGCCACCGCGCCCATGAGACAGTCCACAGCGGTGGAACGGGGTCGGGGGTTGCTAGCGGTGCTCCTGGCCCAAGGTGCCCCCATCTTGTCGCTCCATTCTGGAGCTCCTGGGGCCACCCTGGCTCTCGCGAGGGGTGCTCTGGAGGCCGTGGGGGCCTCCTTGGAAATCCTGGGGGGGCGAGGGCACCTTTGGCACGGGGCACTTCTGGCAGCACCCGAACCTCGCGCCCATCAGACAATCCAGGGCAGCTAAACGGGGGGGCAGGACCTTGGGAGCGGCCAAGAGGGGGGGTGTCCAAGAGGGGGGGTGTCCAAGAGGGGGGGGTGCAAATCGTGACCGGCGGCATGTCCGCGGCCCAGCGGGGGGGCCAGGGACGTCATGAAATAAGAAGAGGCGCCATGAAATCTGGTGAAACATCATGGCCCGCGCCATGATATCCCCCCCCCCTAGTCGTCACCCCCCTCTCTGCCGCCCCCGAAGGACCGTGGCAGGCGCCAGGACGAGAGCGCCACCCGGAACGGCCGAGGACGATCCGAGCGGAGAGGCACGCGCAACTCTGAGGCGATGCTGCCTGTGGCAGCCCGTGCAACAAGTCCATCAGAGAGGGCCAGACAGGCTGCTCCTACGAAGCATGCCAACACAGCATGCGGGCGTCTGGCTCGAGCGTAGGATTATAGGATGGCGCACGAGGTGCTCCCGGATGCACAATGGCCCATCTGAATTGCTCTGCTTCGCGATCGCCTTCGCTCTGCTTCGCACTCTCTACTCTGGACGTTCTACCATCCACCCCTCACTGCGTCTTCTCCGCCGAGGTCCCGGGAAACTGGCCCGCGGCACGAAGCAAGGAAACCGAAACACCGCCGCCACAAACCGAAACCTGGAAATAACGTCCGACCTATATTCAACCCATGCCGTCAAATAGCGCTGAATTCTTGTGTATCCGCCGTCTGGTATGCCCTAGAGGACAATGATATCCTAAGACGCCGGAACGCGTGATGCGCACGCAAAAAGGAGGGAGGGATGTGTGCATGAGAGGAGGTGGCGGAAGAGCAGGGGGATCAACAGGATGACGAGGATGCTTAGAAAGGACGAGAAAGATCAGCAGCAGCAGGAGAAGCAGGAGTGGGGGAAGCAGGAGGACCAGGGAACGGCGGAGTGGAAAGGAGGGGGCGGCGACGACGACGAGGGAACTGGGTCCAAAATGTGGCCCCCGCAGGTGCTTGAGCAGGTTTCTGAACGACGGGGGCGAGACCCCGATCCCGAAATGCAGCCAGCACTGCAACAGGAGCGCGGGTTCTGAAGGACCGAGCACGACTCGCAATGACAGGACCCCCAACCCCTTGAGAAGGGGCAGTAGGGACAGGGGGCCTCTGTTGCAGACGCACCAGCAAAATCACCCTGTTCATTGACCCCGAATGCAAAAACCTCTGGCGCCTAGCTCAGGCTACGCCTTCAGCAACACATCAAGGATAAGAGGGGGTCTCTTCTGCAGACGTGTCAACAAAAACACCATATCCTGTAGCCCCTGGTGCAGAACACGAGCTCCTGGCGTGGGCTACGCCTTCACTGTAGTTTGAAGAAGGTCTCCTTTGCAGACGCATGACCCACACCACCCATATACTTTACCCCCGAATCCAGGCAACTGGTGCCTGGCTTGGGCTACGCCTTCATTGCGTTACTGAAGTTAGTGGCCCCATGTTTGCTTCGTGGACAACTGCCCCGAAGGTAGCATATGAAGTGCCGATGTTTGAGGCCATGTGCACAGGAAGCAGCACATGAGAGAGGGATAAAGGGGGTCTCTTCTGCCGACGCATCAATGCCACCCATAGGTTTCGCCACCTAATACCAAGAATTGATGCCTAGCGTGGGCTCCACCTTCACTGTGCTGTTGAAGTTAGCGGTCCGAGAAACACGTCCACGCCATAACACACGAGGTCCCATGTCTGAGGCCCCCCCCCCTTGTGCACAGGAAACAACACACACACGAGAGAGAGAGAGGAGAGAAACGGCGCCGCTCTGCGCGTGATCAGGGGATAGTGAGAGAGAGAGAGAGAGTGGGAGAGAGAGAGGCCCCGTGCACAGGAAGCAGCACGCGAGAGAGAGAGAGAGAAAGAGCAACGGCGCCGCTCTGAGCGTGATCGGGGGGAGAGGGGGAGAGAGAGAGCGAGAATATATAATATCTATATATATATAGAGAGAGGGAGACAGAAAGACATAAAGAAACACATAGAGAGAGAGAGAGAGAGGGAAATGAATAAAGACAGAAAGAGAAGACACAAGCTGGCCATCGCTCGGACGTCCGTTCCCCGTGCATGCTTCGGCTTCGTGCGTGCTTTCTTTGGCCCGATGGTCGAGGCTGCCCCTCGAAGGCCCCCGCCGAGGAAAAATGCACACGCCCGAGAGTGAGAGTGAGAAAGAGAGAGAGAGAGAGAGGGCACGAGGGGGTGCTCGCAGCGAGCAGCTGCAAGGAGGATCGGGGAGGGCAGGGAGGAGGAGGAGAGGGGGGGGGCGAGCGGAGGGAGGGGGCTGCTGCACGAGGAGGGGGGGGGGGGGGAGGCGAGGGCAGGGGAGGGGGAAGGGAGGGGGGGAGGAGAGGGAGGGAGGGGGGGGGGCTGATGAGTGAGAAAGGGGCGGCAGGCCAGGCAGGCTAGAAGCAGGGCAGAGAGGAGGGGAGAGCGAGAGACAGAGAGAGAGAGAGAGAAAAAAAAAAAAGAGAGAGCACCAGAAAACTAAGCATGAGACAGAGATAGAGAGAGAAGCAGGGAGGGATACATACACACACATATATAGAGAGAGAGAGAAACAACAACCAAAAAGAGAAAGAGAGAGAGGCCACACACATCTATACGTTTGCGTATATATATATATATATATATATATATATATATATACACATTGCACCGAAGGGAGATCGACGGAGAGAGATAGCGGATAGCCAGAAAGAGGGAGAGAGCGAGAGAACAACCAAACAAACGAGACGGCAACAACCAGCAAACGAAGCAGAGAGGGAGGCTTGGGAGACGGACAGAGGGCAGAGATCAAAGGGGGGTGCAGGGGAGGGGAACACTTTCCACGGGCGGACCCACGTGAGCGGGCTCAACCTCCAGCCAGGAGCAGGAGCAGAACGGGTAGATCGCTTCCATACACCGCAGAGCTGCCCTGCCGTGCTCCTCCACCTCGGCGGCCAGCTCGCGAGCCTTCGGGACCGCCCTAAACAAGTGCTTCTCGTCGTCGTGCTCTGCTCGTTGTCCCTCGCACAGTGCGGGCGCAGCCGCCAGAAACCCTCGCAAGAAACCCAACCCTGAGAACCCGTGCACGAGGTACACCTCAGGGGAAACCCGAGCACCCCGAACCCAGCAGCTCCTCCCACGGCTGCGGGAAGTCACCGCGCGGCACGAGGAGCGCAGCAGCCCAGGATACCCTGACGAAGAGCAGATGGCTTCTTGATGCGCGCCCCCCCTGTGTTGTCTTCAATCCGCCTCTGCTGCAAAACTATATCGAAGCAAAAAAACAGCCCACGACAGCGCCCGAACACCGTTCTCGGGCCGACCCCCCGGCGAGCCTCGTCCGCCCCCCCAGCGTCCGCGGCCTCCTTCCGCAGGTGCGACAGGAGGTGACGCTTCCACTGCCACACGAGCCAGTGGAATGGGTGCCTCGCGGCGAACTCCTCCAGACGAAAACACGGCATGAACGCACCACAGGAGGGGGAGGGGGAGGGGGAGGAGGAGGAGGAGGAGGAGGAGGAGGAGGAGGAGGAGGAGGAGGAGGAGGAGAGGAGGAGGGGAGAAGGAGGAGGAGGAGGAGGAGGAGGAGGAGGAGGAGGAGGCGGAGGAGGAGGAGGAGGAGGAGGAGGAGGACGAAGCGGAGGAGGCGGAGGAGGAGGAGGAGGAGGGGGAGGCGGAGGAGGAGGAGGCGGAGAAGGAGGAGGGGTCGGAGCTCCGCGCTGATTGGTTGGACGGGCACCCGACCCCCCCCCTCTCCCGGCACGCGGAGAGGCGCCGCGGGGCGGCGCCAGAGGCGCCGCCGGGGGAGCCCGGCGCCGATGCAAACAAGCCTCGTCGAGCTCCGACAGACCTGGGTGTCTGCCGACTGTTCCTGCTTTCGGCGGTGGACAAACCTCCCTTTAGTAGACCTCCCCTTAGTGAAAACGGCCTGGGACCGAAACCGACGGACCTGGACCCGCAGAAATGACGGCCGCGACGCCCTCTCGTTCCTTAATAGACGTGTCAGGGTAGGAGGTCTGTCCACCCCCGATTCTTCGATCCTCGCAGACCGCCCAGGCGGCGTAGAGGCCGCGAGGCAGCCCCCCGAGGAGGCCCTGCACCTCCTCCTCGGCAGCGCCCCACGCGCCCAGCACGTCGGGGGGCGGCGCCTGCGAGCAGGCGCTGCAGGGCGAGACGGCCTGCAGCCTGGAGGGCCCGAGACATACAGAGGCCGCCCCGGCCAGATCGCGCCCGCGTCGTGAAGAATCACGACGGGCGGCTGTTGGTGCAGTGCCTGGCCACCAACCAGGCCCTCGCCAGGCCCCAGGACCTCGGGATGAGAGGAACCAGCCCTGAAGAAGGCGTCGGGACTTCTAGGGGCTCTGTAGCGAGCAAGTCAGCAGAAGCCCCCCCCCAGTGCGTGGCAAATCTCTGACCTAACCTGACCCAGGCCCTGTCGACACTGCGCCAAAGCTAACCTGACCCACTAAAACTAACGTGACCAACGGCTTGGCGACACCAGGGCTAACGTGACCAAGGGCTCGGCGACGCCGGATCTCTCGGGTGCGTTCTGACCGGGACTCCGAGGTGCACCCAGCCGCGGAGGCGAGGGCCTCCCGCGAGGCCCGAGGAAGCGAGAAGCAGGGCAAGGGCAGCTGCATCGCCACACCTCTCGACTACACGCACGAGTGGCCCTGAGGGCCACGGGGGGATCACACACGAGCGCGCAAGACGCAATAATACCGCATCGCGTTCGGCGACAGGGGGCCCCCGGTTGAACCCGCACCAAAGGTAACTTCCGCGAAAGGTCACTCTTGCGTGTGGCCGAATCTCTTGCATTGTGGATACCATGACAATGGCGGCCTAACAACCCGATCATTTAACCATTTATGTGTTCAAAATGTTGGAAACATGTTCTTGACATGTTCGGAACATGATTATCACATGTTCAAGACATGCTTTAAACACTGCTGTACATCTGGGAATGATTGGCAACCTGCTTCCTCCCCCTTGATCGCCGTCCACAACTAGATCTTGCACCGCCGGCCGCCTGGGCACGCTCGCGCGGCCGCCCTCCTCCGCCGGGGGGCGGCCGGGCGTCAGCAGCGACAGGCACGTGCCGCCGCAGCCCTCCCGGGGGCACGCGAAGCGGCGCGCGTCGTCCACGGGCCCCGCGCACCGGGGACACCCGCAGTCGAACTCCCAGCTGTCGATCCTCGCCTGGCGGAGCTGGGCGGGCTTGCAGAGGTCCTCTCGGCTGCACGCGCAAGACCCGAAGCTCCGACGGTACAAAGTCAGGTCAACCGACTTCGGCTCTCGGGGGCCGTTGTTGGGGCGCTGGGGCAGAGGTCCTCTCTGACGAGCACTAGAAGTACCCCTGACCATCGGGGAGCGGGCCGAGTTTAGAGGCCCCAAACAGAAGGGACAGGGAGTCCGTTCTGCAGACGTGTCGAACCAAACCACCCAGAACTAGTACCCCTGGTACAAAGACGGGCACCTCAGTGAGGCTGCGTCTTCATCGTGCTATTAGGGTGGTTAGAGGGTCTTTTAAATCCATGTGACTCTCCGCTGCGCGCAGGACTCAAATCTCCGACCGTACGAAGCTTTGTCAAAGGCGGAAGTTTTTGGGGGCCCTGGGGCGGTCAGAAGTGGATCTGAGCCGCAAAGCTACCCCCGAGGAAGCGGTCGGGACCTCTGGGGGCGCGGATCGAGAAACCATGTCGGTGGATGTCAAGGGATACGGGACGATGATGAAGAAAAAACAGGAACATGGAGCACACTGATCCCGCCTCGGTCTCAGTATCTCGAAGACGGCGACGACGACGACGACGCCCACGAGCCGGTCTCGAACCCAATCATCTAATCGTTGCGCAGGGCGAGCTGCGTGACGCAGCCCTCCCCCAGACTTCAATCGTCATCCCGCACTAGGCAAAACTGGCCTGTGGTGCGCGACTGGCCGATCGTCGCGTGCGGTGCAGCAGTGGCCGCGTGCGCGCTGCGTGCCTGGGCTTGGCCCCCCCCCCGCGCCCCAAGAGGGCCCCGTACAGAAGGCCACTCCGGCGTACAGTCGGGGCGCTGAAGAGGGAGCCCTTTTCGTTGGGGAGGGGCTCCGTGCTCCTTGATTGTTTCACAGCTTGCCTTAGGTTGTCCTCAGGTTTTCGATGGGACATCGAACTTTAACTGATGGGAGAAAAAGAGCCTCGTTCCTTATTTAGGGTTCCTGAGGTCAACGTCCCGACTGTGGTGCCACTCTCAAGGTGTAGCCAATCCTCGTCGGTGAGGTAGCTCACCAGCACCTCGTCGCCTGGAGCAATGGGCGCGAGGCACACCAGCTGGCCCGGACCCTCGTCTGGCCCCACGACGGTCGCGTTCGCGGCGCACGAGAGCCAGGGAGGCACAGGACTCGAGTTTGGGGGGGCTCAAGGTTTGCCTGACAGGGCCAGCAGAAGATGCGCGGGACCTAGTCTTAGGTCGGGCGTGTCCCCCTACAGGCGGATTTTAGACGAGAAATTGAAAAATCAAAAAATATTCGAGAGTAGCCAATAATAGTTAAAACAAAAATCGTCCACCGACTCTTTTTTTATAACTATTTTTGAATATTCTCCCTGTAGAGGGACAGGCCCGACTTAACCATACACCCGAGCCTTGCGTCTCCCTGGGAGTGGTTGGTCTTCGAGATCACTGGGTACACGACCTCGAGAGGCAACGCTCGGGGGGGGAGCATCGACTTGGATTCGGCGATGCATCGCCAACAGATTGGCGACGCGCCCCCGATAGCGAATGCGCAAGCACCTAGGTCGTTTGGGCTATCGAGCCCTATCGGCGATGACGGGGCGATTGGGGGTCGATGCAGCCCCCCCTGAGCCTAACCAATAAAACGAAGCCAGGACAAGAATAACTTCAGGTGAGGATGCATCGAGAATCTCTGAGATCTGGCGGCTCTGGAGGATGTCTCGGGCGCCGCGGCCTTCTCAGAGAGTTCCGGAACGCTCTGGGCGCGTTCCGGAACGCTCTGGAACAGATCTATCCTCGCCCTGGCCCCATCCGAACCACCCCCCTATCGTTGCCCCACGGCATTCGGCTCGCCACGTGGCTCCCCGGCGGCCCTTCAGGACGATCCGGGCACCCCTGGAAACCTCTCGGCGAGGCGCAGCCGCTGGAATGGGCTAAAACACCACCGCCACGCCGACGCAAACGCAGCACTGCCTCAGACCACGAGTCTCTCTCTCTCGGGCGGTCCCGCCCCGAACGTGGCCTCTGCGGCCTGGAACCTCTGATGGGCTTGTTTTCCACCACCGCCACCACCATAAGTTGGATGGGGGGGCTCCTCCTCCTCCTCCTCCTCCTCCTCCTCCTCCTCCTCCTCCTCCTCCTCCTCCTCCTCTTGCCCCTGCGGCCTGGAACCTCCCCCCCGCGGTGCTGTAGGCGTTGAACGAGAGGGCCAGCATCGCCTCAACCGCGCTGGCCCGCTCGGGCGCCCGCAGGGCAGCCAGACCCTCCTCTTGCCGCGGAGGGCGGAGGAGCACACGGGCGTCCGCCGCAGCGCCGCAGGCTCAGGTCGGACATGTCCCCCTACATGCAGACCCTGGCGGAAAAAATCAAACACAAATAACAAACAAACAAAACATCCGCAATACAACACAACAAGGACACACCACCACCAACAACAACAACAACCACAACAATAACAACAAAAACAACAACAACAACAACAACAACAACAACAACAACAACAACAACAACAACAACAACAACAACAACAACAACAACAACAACAACAACGACGACAACAGCAACAGCAACAACAGCAACACCAAAAATAACAACAACAGCAACAACACCAACAACAACAACAACCATAACGCCAACAGCAGCAACTATAACGCATCAACCATAAAAACAGCACCAACAACAAACACAACAACAACAACAACGACAACAACGACAACAACAAGAACAACAACCACAACCACAACCACAACCACAACAACAACAAACATCATTATAATACCGTTCGCTCTTAATTACCCGTGTGTCATTCAAAACGGGTTCCCCACACACTCGATACCCACCCTTTTTGTCTCCGATCACACACTTTTTGAGGATTATGTCCCTTTGCGGGGGGCGGCGGGCTAGACAGGCGGGCAGACCTGAACGGGGCGGACAATCCTTCGTGGGCGTACGTGTGCCCGCCATTGGAATTGGTGTGGGCCCTGCAGATAGGAGGAAGTGGAAAACGAGGGAGAGCGGGAGGAGGAAGGGAGAAGCAGGGACGAAGGAAGAGGGAAAACGCCAGGAGAGAAGGAGCGAAGAGGGGGGCCTCAGAGGCAGAGAGAGAGAGAGAAAGACAGATAAGAGAGGTAGAGAGAGAGAGGGGAGAGAGATATAAAGAAAGAGGGAGGGAGGAGGCAGGAGAGGGGAGGGAGAAGGGAGGAGGGAGAGGAGAGAGAGGGGATAGGGCAGAGAGGCATAAGGATGAGGTAAGAGAGGAGGGAGAGAGAAGGAAGGAGAGGAGGGAGGAGGGAGGAGGAGCAAGAAGGTAAGAGCGTGAATGTTCGAGGAAGTCCTAGGTGAAAGCGCCGTTCCTGAAGGAAGTCTCGGGCGGGAGCCGACGACGGGCGGACGATCCCCTGACGGGCGGGTCGGGCGGGTGGGACATTCAAGCGGGATTCCTGAGTATGGCGAGAGCGCGATTCCTAAGTAAATTGTGACGGCGTCCTTGGCGCAGCGTGTTTCCTGAGCGTCGAAATTTCGATTCTTGAATAAAATGCATGGAAGTCGCAGGCGAGAACGCAATTCTGGAATAAAATGTGAGGGGTTCTCTGGCGGAAGCGGGGGTCTTATTAAATTGCGAGGAAGTCTTGACTCAATTGCGAGGAAGTCTCAAGCGGAAGCGCCGTTCCTGAGTAAATTGTATGGAAGTCTCAGATGGGAGCGGGGGTCCTGACTAAATTGCGCGGAAGTCACAAGCGGGAGCACCGATCCTGAGTAAACTGTGAGGAATTCTTGGGCGGGAGCGGGGGTCCTCGGTAAATTTGGGGGAAATCTGAGGCGGGAGCCGTTGTTGTTGTAATCCGGGGGCCAGGGGCACAGCTTGAGCATCAAGACTTTCCCTGACAAAAAACAGGGTGCGAGCGTGGAGGGGCACACTCTGATTAAGAAAAAGCAATATGCACCGGTGGGGGGGATCGACAATAATTATTCTTCAGAAATGAGAGTTCAACACCAACAACACCCACAACAACCACAACAACAACGACAACAACAACAACAGCAACAACAACATCATCACAACCACAGCCACAACAAAAACAGCAGCAACAACAACAGCAACACAACAACAATACAAACAACACCAGCACCAACAACAACAACAACAGCAGCAGCAGCATTAAAACAGAACAACACCAACAGCAACAACAACGACAACAACAACTACTACTTTCGAATGCTCCTTCTCTAGAGAGACATGCCCGACTTAACCGTACACACCGACGTCGGCGGCGTGCCGATGGGGGGAAGCGAGACGGGGCAGGCCTTCTCGGAATGCGGCGGGGCTTTTCGGAAGCCCTCTGGCCTTCTCAGAAGCCACCCATGCGCTGCGGCTTCGGGGGCGGCTCGGAAGCCTTCTGACACCCCCTGGGCGCGCCGCCGATGAACGGAGTGCCCTCGGGTGCCTTCGTTTGGCGGAGTCCTCGATCTCGAGCGCCGCGGGTGCTCCACAAGGGGGCTCGGGGTTTCGACCTCTGTGGGCGCTCTTAGGGCACTTCCAGGGCAGAGAGGTGCCCACGAGGAGGAGGAGGAGGAGGAGGAGGAGGAGCACGAGGAAGGAGAGGAGAGGAGACGAGAGGAGAGAGGAGAGAATAGGAGAGGAGAGAGGAGAGAATAGGAGAGGAGAGGAGGGGTGACGCGGGGCCCTGTCTCTACAAAGCGAGGACACCACAAAACGAGGACTACCTTTGGTCTTCGATGTGCCTTTCTGACCGTAGACAACATCACCCAACGCTGATCCTCGGTGTGCTTTTCCGACCGCCGGCGCGAGCTCCCGAGTCGGCTTGGCTCCGGGACCCACGACGATTTGCAGAGGCCCCAACATCGGCCGATTTGGAGCCAATGACGACTCTCAACCGTCCACGTCCGCGTCAGGGTGTGCAGTCGCGTCAGCAAGGCGCGAACCAGCTATACCAGTCAGCATCCACTCGGGAAACTGGATCGAGTCGGATTGTGCGTCGGACTGGGCGGCATCGGCACGGAGCCAGAATCGGGCAGGATCGGCCGCGCCAGGATGAACAACAGCGCCATGCAACGGCTCGTCGAAATACGGGAATCGAGTTATGATGTTCAAAACTACTTCAGCCTCCAGAAAGAATTTCGAGCATCAAGAACATACCGAAACGTGAGGGTGTTGACGTGTCGGGCCCTGGGAGGCGATGCTCGTTCGACACTGTTTCGATACGTTTCTGGGTGCTCGAAACTATGCCTGGGTGTAAGTACGATGGGAACAACATAAGAATCGAGTCGGATCGGGCGAGCCACAATCGATGTCGAATCGACATCGGATCGGATCGACATGAACGGCGCGTGCGCGTGTGCTGCTCTGGACTCCTCGGGATGTCCCCCCCGAGTCCCCGGCGGGCCTCGGGGGGGCCAGCGTAGGGACCACACAACAGCGCCGAAAACAACAGTGGATCCCTCTCGGAGGACGGGGCACTTGGAGCCCGAGAAGCCCTGCATGCCAGGGCGTGGACTTACTAAGGGCTCCCAACTTCGCGCTTCGCGCTGCGCAAAGCGCGGCTAACCTCGCGCTCTCGCGCCGCCTCCCAAGGGAGGAGATGAGAATGAGGAGGAATCGGAGCCGAACCGCGAAGCGTGAAGCGCGAATAACTTCGCGCCCTCGAGGGCGCTCTTGACTTACGCATCCCGGCCCCACGCACTTCGGACAGACTGCCCGTGATTGGTTGCTGCCGTGCTTGGTTGGGAGGCCTGCCAGGCCCAGCTCAGACGACGTGCGAGGCCACCCCGCGGGGCCGAGAGCGGCTCCCGAGCCCGGCTCGGCCAGAACCCGGCCTTCCGGGGTCCTGCAGGACTTGGCGCTCTGGGAGCCTTCTGAGGAGACCTCCTCCTCCCTCCTCCCTCCTCCCTCCTCCCTCCTCCTCCCTCCTCCCTCCTCCCTCCTTCCTCCTCACTCCTCCCTCCTCCTCCCTCCTCCCTCCTCCTCCTCCGCCTCCTCCCCCGAGGCCCCCGAGAGAGCCTGGTGAAGAGACCCCGAGAGCCTTCAGAGGAGACCCCCGCAGTGTCTGGCGACTTCTCCCCGGAGGCCCCCGAGAGCCTTCTGAGGAGACCCCGAGAGGCAGCACTCCAGCCCATGTCAGCGTCGTCGTCGTTGTCGCCGCCGCCGCTGTCGTCGTCGTCGTCGTCGTACCCCTTCAGGGTCGGCGGCAAGGGCCGCAAGGCGCTCGCAATCTGGGAGATCTCGTGGCCCCCGCCATGACATCCACCACCACCACATGATTCTCCCCCCTCCTTTTAGGACGCCCGAAATGGAGACGGAAAAAGAAGTACGATGCCCAACAACAAATTGTGTCCAAAGCCGACATCGGCCGCTGTTGGGCAGGCGGCCCTGTGTCGGATGGAAAACGGCCGGTACCCTCCCCCAACATGTGGCCGGTGCCGCCTCGCTCGGCGGCGGAAATCCGCGATCTACCATGGAAACGGGACCCGTCGCTAATCCACGCCCCCTTGACCCATGTTTGCGATCCCATGACCATTCTTGCCGTGCCCACTTCGATCCTCCCCTCCTTGGCGGGCTCCGCTCGGGTATCTCCTCGGACACAGGTCAATCCAGACCCGGGTCAGTCAGGCCTGGCAAGATCCTGCGAGATCCTGCACCCAAACCAGGGTCAACGCGAAGGATCCTGCAAGACCCTGCAGGATCCCGCACCCAAGCCCGGGTCAGTGCGACCCTGGCCCTTGCAGGATCCTGCCAGATCTTGCGCTCTGGCTGACCCCCGTTTGCATTGACCCCCGTCTCAAGGCTCCCGAGGGAGCGGGGGGCACCGGCCCCCGGCCCCCCTAGGATGGTGCGACTTCATACTCCGTATGGGCGATGGGGCAGAATCATAATTAGGGAAATTGCAACGCACAAAAGGGTGCGCATAAGTTCGGCGGACTCCACTGCTCGAGCAATCATCCCACCCACCGACCCGCGACTTGGTTTGCACCATGACCCCAATCTTCGCCGGTGGACAAACCTCCCTTTAGTAAACCTCCCCTTAGTGAAAACGGCCTGAGACAGAAATCGACGGACCTGGACCCACAAAACGACGGCCGCGACGCCCTCTCGCGAACCGAAAACGGCCCATTCCTTAATCGACGTGTCAGGGTAGGAGGTCTGTCCACCCCCGATTCTTCGATCCTCGCAGACCGCCCAGGCGGCGTAGAGGCCGCGAGGCAGCCCCCCGACGAGGCAGCCCCCCGAAGTCTCAAGGCTCCCGATCCGCGCGTGCCCTTCCAGCCTCCGGCCTGCCCACTCCCGGTACAGGCGCGCCCGCGGCCCACCCCCCGGGCCGCGGCACAGCGGGCGACCGCCGGGCCGCGCGCCCAGCAGCGCGGCCCCCGGCCCGCCCGGGCCTGACAGCCGCGCGTGCAGCTCCCGGAGCCTCTCCTGACGTCGCCGTCGTCTGCGTCGTGGCCGCCGCCGCCCCTGCCGCCGTCGGCGTCGTGCCTCCTCCTCCTCCTCCACCTCCTCCTCCTCCTCCTCCTCCTCCTCCTCCGTCCTCCTCCTCCTCCGTCCTCCTCCTCATTTTCCTCCTCCTTTTCCTCCTTCCCCTCCTCCTCCTCCTCCTCGTCCTCCTCAACTTCCCCCGAGGAGGAGCTGGAGCAGGAGGAGGAGAATGCGGAGGAGGAGTCGATAGACTGGCACACGCGAGGGCCAAGGTGGTAGGGGGCCCGACCAGAGGCGCCGCCGTCGTCGAGAGATCTCGTGGCCACGGCCCACGGCTGGGCGCGGCTCCAAAACAAGGCTGGCAGGGACGGATCCAGGGAGGGTTCTGGAGGAGGGGGACAAGGGGGAGGGCTCCGGAGGGGAGGGCTCCGGAGGTGTGGGGGAGGGCTCTGGAGGAGGAGGAGGAGGAGGAGGAGGAGGAGGAGGAGGAGGAGGAGGAGGAGGAGGAGGAGCAGGAGGAGGAGGAGGAGGAGGAGGAGGAGCTAGGAGGAGGAGGAGGAGGAGGAGGAGGAGGAGGAGGAGGAGGAGGAGTGCTCCGGGGGAGCCCGCTCCGAGCGGGGCACCGGGCGGCGGCTGGGCTAGAAGGGAGGCGGCCATGCACGACGCCACGGGGCAGGCCCCGCGCCGCTCGTGAGGCCGCCGGCGCGGGGCCCCGAGGAGCGCACCGCAGCGCCGAGGCATCGGCGGAGTCGGCTGGCCTTGGACCTCGGTTTTGGACGCCCGAAGTGGGCACGGAAAGAATGGGTACAATGCCCAACAGCAGATGATTGTCCCAAACCATCAGCGGCCGCTGTTTGGCAAGCGGCCTTCTGTCTCGAATGGACACAGGCCGCGGCGGCGCGGACAGCGAGTCCTGTTCAAAATGAACAGGAACTGCTGTTGAGTATTGTACCCCCGTGCCCATGTCGTTCGTGCCGATCGGTGACAGCTCATGGGAGCCTCCAGTACCATCTGGTCGGCTCTTGCGGATCGACGCCAAGTCGACGCTGAATGGACGCCGGTCGACGCTCACCGACGTCAGATCGGCGCTATCCCCTCGACTCCGAGACGCCAATCGACGCCGGTCGACGCGGAAGACGGAATTGAGAGGGTATACCAGGCTCCCATGATGTGCCACCGAACTGGGCCGCCAGCAGGCACCCAGGGGGCCACCCAAGAAGTCCCAAGAGGCCCAGAGGCCCACGAGAGGCCCCAAGAAGGCCATTTGGGAAAGGGTCCCGAACGGTCCCCATGAGGCCTCAGGACCGCCTCCAAGAAGCCCCACGGGGGGGTTCCCGGGAGATCCCTGGTGGCGCCCAAGAAACCTTTGACCCACAGGCAAAGTGGCGGGCGGGATGGGCTGAAAGCCGCTGGACTGCCGACACAAGATTCAATCGGACTCGAACGAATGACGGCAGGTCGACTCCTTGCCTGTTGTGAGGGTCGGCGGAATGGCGGAAGCCTCTTGAATATATTTGGATTTGGATCGAGCCGCATCACCGAAACGCATCGGCTGTGCGGCGCAAGCCTCCAGCCCCCTCATGGTTGGGCCTGAATCGAGCGACGCGCAGCCTCGGGAACCAGCCTCCCCTAAGAACAATTCGTGCAAAACGAAGGTGGTGGGCTCTAGGCAAACCAGGACGCTTCGCTACTGCTTGACCCTGTGCCATCGCTCGGACGTCCATTACCCGTGCATTGTTTGGTTTCGCGCACGCTGCCTTCCCAACATGGCTCAACATACGACAAGGTGGTCCAGATTTCCTGGCCGTGGCCTCGCGGAGAAAAAACGCACGTCCGAGCGACGTCATGTGCCGATCTATCCTCGAGGGGTGCCGCGGAGATGGCGTCGCTCGCCACACAGACGACCCTCGCCTCCTCGAGCGCCGTCTCGCCCACGCAGATGCTGCGCACGGCCACGAGGCAGTCCCCCCGGCCGCCCGCGCCGGCCCGCACCGCGACGGCACAGCCGTCCATCCGACCGCAAGCGCGAGCGCGAGCGGGCGCCGCGGCGGCGCGAGCCCTGCAGTTCTGGCCTCGGGCTTGAGCAGGTCCACCTCATTCGTCGTTCCTCCCCCCTCTCCTGCTGTAGCGTTGTGGATGCCATGACAACGGACACCCTAGCAGTCCGATCGTGTAGTTACAAACGTGTTATAATGTTTGAATTATGTTCTAAACATGTTTCAAACATGGGTTTTGCATGTTTCAAACATGCTTAACGCATGTGATACAATCGGCCCAAATTGATAGGTCCACCCTGCCAAATCAAGGGTACCCTTTGTGTTCTGCGTCTCGCGGCCCATGTTTCCGGCATTATTGTGTCAACGTGGCCCCCGACAGGGTCTTGTGTCCTCTCGCGTGTCATGTCCAATCAAGTCCAGCTGTAGACATGTGGAAGCTGACGACACGCTTCCTCTCCACCGCTGGGGACGCGGGGTGGTGAGGTGGTGTGCGTCGCGACGCGGAATAAAGCGTTCGTGGCGGAGGGGGCAGTGGGCGGGGTTCCCGCTGGGGCGCTCGGGGCGCGGGGGGGACTCGGGGCAGAGAGCCACGGCGCGGGGGTCCCACTCTGGCCATGTGGAAATTGACGATCGTCGTCCACAACTGTAGCGCTCGCTGTCGTCCGTCCCCCACCGCTCGGCACCAGCGGGCGTGGGCGCGAGCGGGCCGCTCCGACAGTGGAGGGGGGTGGGGGCACGCGGCCCCGGGCGTTGGCAGCGCGCGCGCGCAGCAGAGCTGAACACAGGATCCAGCCAGCCAGCGTCGCGTTTGGCGCAGTCTGCGAGCGCTGGGCCGGGTCTTCTGGGGTCTCTGACGTGGACGGCTGCAAAGCGGCGGCCTGATCCACATCACGTTCCGTCCTGAATCCGCAGGCTTGGCACCGTGAGGAACCTGGACGCGATGGTGGAATGTACATCTGTCGGCCAGCGTTGGACCCCGACGCTGGACAAGCAGAGGCCGGACCCTAAACGTGGACCTGTGCGCCGTGATGACCCTCGCCTCCCGGCGGACCGCAGGAGGGGGCAGGGCGAGCGGGGCGACCCCCCCAAAAAGGTAGCGGGTTTTTTCGGGAGGCACCGGTCCCATAACACGCAGGCGTCCGTGCTAAAAGGTCCGAATTATGTCGGGCATGTCCCTCTACGTGAGGAATATTCAGAATTATGTTTTAAACAACGGAGACGTTTTTTGGCGTGTCATTGAATTCGTCGTCTAAAAAAAATCCGCCTGTAAGAGGACATGCCCGCCCTAAGGCCACAGGGCTCCCAAGGAGGAGGCGGTACCACAGGACGGGGACACACCAGAGGCGGAGGCGGAGGCGGAGGCGGAGGAGTCAAAGACCTCCGCCGCGAAGGCCTCCAAGGACGAGTTCCGAGGGCTCCGCTGTGGGGCCGGCAGAGCTCCTAGGAGCGGATTTTCTCTGCCTCGGCACGCCGCCACAGCCCGCGTTGGCCTGCAAAGAGCAAGTTCTTTTATTTTCGGCGATGGGTGGCGTCATGGGGGGGGGGGGCGGAGGGAGTATGCGCCTCCCCCCCCCGTCTCGTGTGGTTCCAGCACCACAACCGCGCCCGCCCGCACGATGACGATGAGCGACGAGCGACGAGCGACGACGACGAGACGCGAGCAAAATGTTGGTGGCGATCTGCCCCACAGCGCCTGTCACCACAGTGCTCGCGTGCACCATAGCGCGCGTGTGCACCACAACGCCTGCGTACACCGCGCCGCAACGCCCGTGTGCAACGCACCGCCTGTGTACACCACAATGCTTGCGTGCGCCACAACGCCGGTGTACACCACAGCGAATGTGCACACCGCAACAACCATGTGCAACACAGCGCCTGTGTACACCACACTGCTCGCGTGCACCGCAGCGCTTGTGCACACCACAACGCCTGTTTACACCACAGCATCCGTGCGCAACGCAGCGCAACGCTGTACACTACAGCGCACGCCGCGTCCCCATCCTCATCCGCCTCCTCCTTTTCCTCCGCCTTTTTCCCCCTTCCTCCCTGTCGTGCGGGTCGGCGCTGCAGCGCACGTGTGCATCTCAGCGTGTACCGCAGAATGGTCTACTGAATCAGCCCAATTAGTCTCCGGACGGCCAAATTAGCTGGACTTTCCTGGACGCAGATGGGAGGCGCTAGGATGATGCAGGCGGACTCGGGAGGACTCGTAGATTCCAACAGCACTCGTTTTCCCACAGAGAATTGTTTACAAATACTACATAACAGTTGTCTTCAGTGGAGACCAAAACTCTTCATACAACAATGGTGATCAGTTGATCACGGTTGCTGTCGTGCACACAGGCACCGTGGTGTACACAGGCGCTGTAGTGCACGCAGGCAATGTCGTGTACACTGGTGCTGTGTGGCACACTGCTGATGTGGTGTCTGCAGGCGCTGTGGTGTACACAAGCGCTGTGGTGCCCGCAGGCACTGTGGCAAATACTGGCGTTGTGTTGCACGCGGCTGCTGTGGTGCACATAGGCGGTGTGGTGTACACAGGCGCTGTGGTGCACGCAGACACTGTGATGTACACAAACGTTGTGGTGCAGATCGCCACCGACATGCTGTTGCTACCCGTCCTCGGTCATTCCTGAGGCTTCCTGGAAGCCGCCGGCGCGAAACGTGACGTCATCGGCCCCCTCCAACACCATCCCAGATGATTGCAGTCATCGGCCCGGGCTGAAAAAAAGGCTCCAGCCGCGTCCGAGCGCACGACGACGATGAGCGACGAGCGACGAGCGAGGATCGACGACGACGACGACGACGACGTCGACGACGACGACGACGACAACTGCGGACCAGACTCCTATGCGGATTCCCATGCGGACACCTATGCGGATCCCTATGCGCACGGCGGCAATGCCCGGAGCGCACTGGGGAGGGAGCGTTACGTCATAGGGGGGGGGGCGGGGGCCATGACGCCCAGCATGCCCCAAGCAATACAACAAACACGCTCAAAGCACCTGGGCTCCGCCCGGCCAGGGAGTCTGGAGGGCACGGCACTGCTGCGCCTGCCGCGGCGCGATGGTGGGTGCTCCAGCCACATGCCCCCGTACAGTAGGGGCTCGACCCCATCCCTGAGACCCCAGGACGTCCATCGATGTTTTGTGTGGGCACGCCACGAGATCTATGGCAAAACCATCGAGACCCAAGAAACCCAGGGCACCCTGGAGGCAAGCAGCGTGTGTCTTGGCATGGACCTCCACTGTATCAATTTGCTCATGCTCATCATCCCCCCTCCCCACGACGGCCCCAAGACGGCCCCAAGAGGCCTTCGAGGCTCCCCAAGAGCCTTTCCCAGAGGACCCTGAGAAGCCAAAATCATTGATTCCCCTCAGGTGTTTGAAGGATTGTGGTGTTCTCGCCTTTCCGGTTTCCCGACAGTCCAAGACGGCCCAAGAGGCCCTCGAGACCGCACCAAGACGGCCCGAAGGACCCCCTCTGAGAAAGCTCCAAGACGGCCCAAGAGGCGCCCAAAACGGCCCAAAACGGTCCAAAAATAGCTTCAAGAAAAGCCGAGGTGGGAGAATACGAAACGAAAATCCGACTCTTCCGCCCCAGGAAGCCCTCAGGAGGCCTCGAGGAGGCCCCAGGAGGGTCCTAAGAAGCTCCCAGAAAGCCCCAAGAGGCTCCACAACGGCCGCCAAGAGGCTTCAAAACGGCCCCGAGAGGTCCTGGAGAGGCCTCCCGCGACATCCCAACGAACATCCTAAAGCCTATGACCCACAACCCAAGCCCGGTGGCGGGATGGGCCGAAGACCATGAGATCCGCCGCCCACCAATCACAAGCGTGCAGGGCGTGCTGAATGTTTGGCTGTTTTGGGTTATCATTAAAACTCCCCCTGGGGCCTTGGCCCAATCCGCCAGCCACCGGAAGGCCCGGGAAAGTTTACACTTCAACGGTCTTCCGCTCGAAGATGGCCCCAAGATGGCCTCCAAGACGGCTAAGATGGCCCTCAAGGCGGCCCAGATGGACCCATGATAGCCAGGGATATCTCCAAGATGGCCTCCAAGATGGTCCCAAGATGCCTCCAAGACCGCCCAGATGGTCCCAGAGGGCCCCCCATGTCCAAGAAGCGTCCACGAGACCCCCAAGACGGCCCAAGAGGCCCCAAAGAGGTGCCCCAGCAAGGCCCAAAGAGGCCCATGTTCAGTTAAATCGCGTTTGCTTCAAAACGGCCTTCCGACGGCCCAAGACATCCAAAAAAGGCCTCCAAGATCGCCCAAGAGGCCTCCAAGATGCCCCGGTGACGCCCCAAGTGGCCCCCAAGACTGCCCCACGAGGGTCCTACGACGCCCCCCAATGCGCCCAGGACGCCGAATATGACCTCCGAGACGGCTCTTCCGCGCTCCATCCAAGAGAGCGCCACATGGCAACAAAATGCCTTTCAGATGACCCAAGATGCAGTCAAGATCAGGGCCCCGTAGACCCGGACACGCTAGACCCGGACACCCAATATCCCTCGAAACCAATTTTTCCAAACGGCGGCACGAACAAAATACTGTACTGCAGCATTTCCAGAATAAACCCGGACACAGGCCCCAAAAGCCTGCAAGACCCCCCCTTTAACCCGGACACACACCCGAATCCTGCAGTGCAGCAAGCAAAAAATGCACGGGTGCTGAAAAACGTGACTCTGCAGGAAAGGATGTCGTTTCCTTGATTTTCCGTGTCCTGGTTTAGCTGTGTCCTGGTCTCTGGGGGCCTGACAAGACTGCCTAAGTTGGCCTCCGGATGGCCCAAAAGGCCCCCAAGAGGCTCCCAAGACGGCCCAAGAGACCTCCAAGAGCTTCTTCAGGAAGGCCTGCAAAGGCCAAAATCATCGACTGTCCATACATGTTTTCATGATGTGGGCGTTTGCTCCTGTGTTGGACTCCGACGGCCCAAGACGGCCCAAAAGGCCTCCAAGTTGGCCTCATGACAACCTCATGACGGCCCCCAAGACGGCCCCAAGAGAGCCCACAGACGGCCAAATAAGATCTCAAGACACTCAAGATGGCTACCAAGACGGCCAAAATATGAGCATAAGGTAGCCACAAGATGCCCCCAAGACGGCCCAAGATG